TTTATATATCAGTTTGTATTATTATTTTTTAGATTCCATTTATCACTGATATCATAGAGTACTTGTCTTTGTCTAACTTAACTTCACGAAGCATAATATTCTCTAGGTCTATCCACGTTGCTGCAAATGACTGAATTTCATGCTTTTTTTATGGCTAATGCTCCTTTGTATATATGTATTGCATCTTCTTTTTCCAGTTGTCTGTTGATGGGCCCTTGAGTTGTTTACATGTCTTGGATATTGCGAATAGTGCTGCTGTGAACACAGGGGTGCATGTATCTGTAGGTATTCCCAGGAATGGAATTACTGGATCAAATGGTTGTTCAATTTTTAGTTTTTTGAGGAATCTCCATACTGGTTTCCATAGTGGCTGCACTAATTTACATTCCCACCAACAGTATACAAGATTTCCTTTTTCTCTACATCCTCTCCAACATTTGCTTTTTGTAGACTTTTTGATGATAGCCAATCTGAAAAATGTGAGGTAATGTCTCATTGTTGTTTCAATCTGCATTTCTCTGATAGATAGCCAGGATGAGCATCTTTTCATGTGCTTGTTAGCCATCTGTTTATCTTCTTTGGAAAAATGTCTAGTTAGGTCTTCTAAGCCATTTTTTTATTGGGTTGTTTGTTTTTATTGATACTGAGTTATATGAGCTGTTTATATATTTTGGATATTAACTCCTTGTTGGCCATATCATTTGAGAAAACTCTCCCATTCTACAGGTTGTCTTTTCATTTTGTTTATGGTTTCCTTTACTATGCAAAAGCTTTTAAATTAGGTCCTGTTAATTTCTTTTTGCTTCTACTTCTTCTGCCTTAGGAGACAGATTAAAGAAATATTGCTACTATTTATGTGAAAAAATGTCTTACCTTTGTTTTCTTCTAGGAGCTTTATAGTTTCTGGTCTTTGATTTAGATCTTTAATCCATTTTGAGTTTATTTTGTAAATGATGTTAGAAAATGTTCTAATCTCATTCATTTACATGTAGCTTTCCATTTTCCCTCAGAACCACTAGTTGAAGAGATTGTCTTTTCTCCACTGTATATTCTTGTGCCTTTGTCATAGATTAATTGTTCATTGGTGTGTAGGTTTATTTCTGGGCTTTTTATTCTGTTGCATTGATCTATGTGTGTGTTTTTGTACCAGTACTCTGCCGTTTGATTGCTATAGCTGTGTAGTATAGTCTGAAGTCTGGAAGGGTTATACCAGCATGTTTGTTCTTTTATCTCAAGATTATTTTGTCAACTTGGGATCTTTTGTGGTTCCATATGATTTTTACAATTACTTGTTCTAGCTATGTGAAAAATATTGTCAATTTTGATAGGAATTGCATTAAATCTATAGATTGCTTTGGGTAATATGGCCATTTAAAAAATATTAATTCTTTCATACCAAGAACATGGGGCATCTTCCCATTTCTTTGTGTAATCTTCAGTTTCTTTCAACAGTGTTTTATAGTTTTTAGAATATAGATCTTTTAGCTCCTTGGTTAATTTTGTTCCTTGTATTTTATTCTCTTTGATGCAATTTTAAACAGGATTTTTTTCCTGTTATTTCCATTATTTCATTATTTTTGTATAGAAATAAAAAATCTGTTCTATAAAAAACAGATTTCTGTGTTTTAATCTCACATAATGCAACTTTACTAAATTCATTTATTATTGCTAATAATGTTTGAGTGGGGGGCTTTAGTATTTTCTCTATGAAGTATCAAGGTGGACATGGCAACCTGCTCCAGTATCCTTGCCTGGAGAATCCCATGAATAGAAGAGCTGGGCGGGCTACAGTCCATAGGGTTTCAGAGATATCATATTACCTTTTCTCTTCTAATTTGGATATCATTTATTTGTTTTTTTTTACATTATTACTGTAGCTAGGCCTTCCATTACTGTTAAATAGAATTGGTGTGAGTGGGCATCTTTGTCTGGTTTCTCACTTTAGAGGAAAGACTTTCAGCTTTTTACCATTGAATATGATATTGAATGGGCTTGTTGTAAATGACTTTTATTAAGTTGAGAGTTTTTTATGAGAGTTTTTATCATGAATGGATGTTGATTTTTGCCAAATGTTTTTTCTGCATCTGTTTAGATGATAACATGATTTTTATCCTTCCTTTGGTCACTGTGCTGTATCACACTGATTGATTCATGAATGATGAACTGTCTTTGTGACCCTAGACTAAAATCCAAATCCTAGACTAAATTGATCATGGTATATGAGTCTTTTTATATATTGTTGGATTTGGTTTGCTAAAATTTTGTTGAGGATTTTTGCTTCTGTATTCATCAAGGATACTGATCTGTAATTTTCTTTTTTTGAAGTGTCTGTCTAGTTTTGGTGTCAGGGCAATTGGGGGCCTTATAATAGAATGAACTTGGGAGTATGCTTTCCTCTTCAATTGTTTTGAATAGTTTGAGAAAGATAACTATTAGCTCTTTGTATGTTTGGTAAAGTTCCCTTGTGGAGCTGTCTGGTCCTAATTTTTGTTTGATGGGAGTTTTTTAAATAAAAGGTTCTATTTCACTTCTAATGATTTGGTTTGTTTAAATTATTTGTTTCTTAGTCTTGGCAGGTTGTTTGCTTCTGTAAATTTGTCAGTTTCTTCCAGGTTGTCCAGTTTGTGGGCATACTGACTGTTCATTCAGTTCAGTTCAGTCGCTCAGTTGTGTCTGACTCTTTGCAACCCCATGGGTACAGCATGCCAGGCCTCCCTGTCCATCACCAACTCCCCGGAGCTTATTCAAACTCATGTCCATTGAGTCGGTGAGGCCATCAAACCACCTCATCCTCTGTTGTCCCCTTCTCCTCCCACCTTCAATCTTTCCCAGCATCAGGATCTTTTCAGATGAGTCAGTTCTTTGCATCAGGTGGCCAAAGTATTGGAGTTTCAGTTTCATCATCAGTCCTTCCAATGAATGTTCAGGACTGATTTCTTTTAGGATGGACTGGTTTGATCTCCTTGCAGTCCAAGGGACCCTCAAGAGTCTTCTCCAACACCACAGTTCAAAAGCATCAATTCTTTGGCACTCAGCTTTCTTATATTCCAATTCTCACATCCATACATGACTACTGGAAAAAACATAGCCTTGACTAGACAGACCTTTGTTGGCAAACTAATGTCTCAGCTTTTTAATATGCTGTCTAGGTTGGTCATAACTTTCCTTCCAAGGAGCAAACGTCTTTTAATTTCAAGGCTGCAGTAACCATCTGCAGTGATTTTGGAGCCCCCCAAAATAAAGTCTGTCGCTGTTTCCATTGCTTCTCCTGTTCATAGTATTGTTTTTTTCTTTTTATGTCTCTGTGGTATGTTATTATTTCTACTCTTTCGTTACTTGTTTTAAGGCAGAGGCCTCTTTTCTTCTTGATGAACTCAGCTAAAATGTTTATCAATTTTATCTTTTTTTTAAAAAAAACAACTCTTGGTTTTATTGATCTTTTTTATCTCCATTTTTATTTATTTCATCTCATCTTTATTATTTACTTTCTTCAGCTGTCTTTGGGCTTTGCCTTTTCTTCTTTTTTAAATCTTTTTTTTCTTTTACATTTAAAAATCTTCAAATAAAGAGTGAAAAAAAATTTAAATTATTTATTTATTTATGGTTGTGTTGGGTCTTCGTTGCTGTACGTGAGTTTTCTTTACTTTCAGTGAGTGGGGGCTAGCCTCTAGTTGTGGTTGTGTAGACTTCTCATTGCAAAGGCTTCTCTTGTTGTGGAGCGCTAGCTCTAGGATAAGTGGGCTTCAGTAGTCGTGGCTCATGGGCTCTAGAGTGTGGGCTCAGTAGTTGTGGCACACATGCTTAGCTGCCCTGCAGTATGTGGAATCTTCCCTGACCAGGGATTAAACTGTATCCCCTTCATTGGCAGGAGGGTTCTTTACCAGTGGACCACCAAGGAAGTCCTTCAGTTCTTTCAAGTGGGAGATTAGATTGTTTGTTTGAGATTTTTCTTATTTCTTGAGGAAGGCCTTTATTGCTATAAATTTCCCACATACAGAAGTTTTTGTTGCATCTAATTGGTTTTGGGAAATTTTGTTTCCATTTCATTTGTCTTGAGATATTTTTTTGGTCTTCTCTTTGATTTCATCATTGACTCACTGGTTTAGTAACATGCTGTTTAGTGTCCACACATTTGTTCTTTCCCCATTTTTCTTTCTATAGTTGATTTCTATTTATTTACCACTGTGATTGGAAAAAAAATGCATGATATAATTTCTGTCCCTTTAAATTTTTTGAGGCTTCTTTAGTGGCCCGGTACATGATTTATCTTGGAGCACTTGCTATGTGCACTTAAAAAGAATGTGTATTCTGCTGTTTGGGGATTTAATATCCTATAAATGTCTATTAAGTACACCTGGTCCATTAGGCCATTTAAGACCACTGTTTCTTTATTGATTTTCTGTAAGGATGATCTGTCCATTGATGTCAATGGGATGTTAAAAGTCCTCTTGTATTAATATTACTGTGTTATTGCCAGTTTTTCCCTTTATGCCTGTTAGTATCTGCTTTATATATTTAGGTGCTCCTATATGGGTTTGTATGTGTTAATGAGTATAATATCATTTCTTGTATTGTTTCCTTTATACATGATAATCTTTTTTTTTTTTTGGTATAGCTTTTGTTTTAAAATCTTTCATCTGATGTGAGTATTACTACCCCTGCATTCTTGCTCTTTGCATGAAATATTTTTTCTATCCCCTCACTTTCAGTCTGTGTGTGTCTTTAACACTGAAGTGAGCCTCAGGTAGGCAGCATATTGAACAGACTTTATTATTCCAATCATCCACCCTGTGTCTTTTGGTTGGCACATTTATTTCATTGACACATGAAGTAATTATTGTAGGTATGTACTTATTACCATTTTATTACTTTTTTCCAGTTGTTTCTGTAGTTGCTTTCTGTTCATTTTTTTCTTCTTTTTGTTTCTACCATTATATTTTGATGATTTTCTTTAGTGGTGTATTTGGTACATTTCTTTTTGGTTTCTGTATCTGTTGTAGGTTTTTGATATGTGGTTACCCCCAGAGAAGGAAATGGAACCCACTCCAGTATTCTTGCCTGGAAAATCCCTTGGACAGAAGAACCTGGACCTGGGGTTGCAGAGAGTCACACATGACTGAGCAACTAGCAGTTTACCATAGAAATAATATTGACCTATAATTATATCTACTTGTTTTAAATTTGTATTCATTTAAGTTCAAACACATTCTAAACGATCTAATTTTTTTTACTCTTCTCCCCAATACTGTGTTCTTGATGTCATATTTTGCATCTTCATGTTTACCATTTTGCTGATAATTGTAGTTGTAGTTGCTTTTACCATTATTTTTTGTCTTTTACTCTGCACACTGGCTTAATTAAATAATCTTCAATGCTTACTATATATCTGTCTTTCCTACTGGAATTTTCTCTTTTCTGTTGATTCTTACTACTTTTTCATTTAGAGACCTTTCAACATTTCTTTTAGGGTAGGTTTAATATTGATACATTCTTACTGCTTTTCCTTGTCTGAGAAGATCTTTTTCTCTCTTTCTATTGTAAATGATAATCTTGCTGAGTAGAGTATCCTCGGTTGCAGGTTTTTCCCTTTTAAGACTTTGAAAATACAATGCTGCTCTCCTCTGACCTGCAAAGTTTCTGCAAAGAAATCAGGGGACAGCTGAATGGAAATTCACTTGTGTATGACTCTTTGTTTTTCTCTTGCTGCATTTGAAATTCTCTCTTTAACTTTTGCCATTTTAGGTATGACACGTCCTGGTAAGGGTCTGTTTGAGTTTATCTGGGGAAACCCAGTGGCTGTGCTGTCATCAGAAGTCTTGACTGCTTCTGGGTACTGCCTGAGTAAGCACCAGCAGTCGCCACCACTGCCCCACCTGGGCTCTACCCTAGAACTGGGTCACCTTTGCATCCCGAGGTGGAGTCTTTTCCCCGGTGCTGGCTGCCACAGATCCAGTGCCACTTTGTGACATGGAGCGAGCTGGACCAGGGTGTTCACTTGACTCAACTGGAGAGTACTATGAGGCAGTTGTTGGAAAACCAGCAGTCGCTGGTTTTTGTCTTCCCTGCCTGGGATCAAGCCAGTACCCGCACACTCCTCATAAGTGAAGTCCAGGTTTCTTCAACCTTACTATCTCTTCCAGTGGTTCTCCAACCAGCCAGAGGGGCAAATGACTAGGTTCTCCCAAGAAAACTCTGGTACTGTTCCATATCAGAAGGATGGAAAATGAATACTGGGCAGGAAAATTGTAGGTGTCCACCTCAGAGTATAAATTTTACATTAGAATAGGCTTCTGTATAAACTTTACTTAAAATATGAGGTGCCCTTCATACATATGTATCTCTGCTTCTGAGTTCTAAGAGATAAGATATGTTATGCTTGAAAGAAATGGCATTTCTTTAATCTAGAGATGATCTGCTTGATGGATATTGTCAAAATTAACTGACAATTACTATTAAATTACCAGTGGCATTTTCTACAGCACTTTTGGTACTTACTTTTTTGTTGTTATAATGAAATTATAGGAAGACATGAAGTGTATTTTGTCATCATTTCTGCTTAAAACTATTCTGAGCTGAATCTTAAATAATGACTCTGACACTGATCTTGACCCTAATCATTTAACCCACTATTTTGTTGCTCTTATTTAATGATAATCCTGTGGATCTAATTGATGATCTCATCCTTCTAAGATCTGTATCTGTTTCTACTACAACAGGTGTAGCCCAGGCTGTGTATCAATTTAGGACCTCTCTGCCCCCCTTTAGTGATTCTGGTTTTGTGTCAGAATCTCATGTTCAGCATTCCCTTCTTCTTGTTAGCCCATTACCGAGCCAGTCACTATGTCCAGGGGCATAGAATACATTGATTGTTTAGACTGGGTCTTGTGACCATGTTGATGCTTAGATGTGTTATCAGTAGTGCGGGGAAAACTGGACAACTACATGTAAAAGAATTAAATTTGAATATTCTCTAACACAATGCACAAAATAAACTAAAAATGATTTAAAGGCCAAAATGTAAGATCAGATACTATAGAATTCTTAGAGTAAAAACATAGGCAGAATACTCTTTTGACACAAGTCGTAGTTATGTCTTTTTGGATCCTCTCCTAGAGTAATGGAGATAAGAACAAAAATAACAAATGGGATATAATTAAACTTAAAAGCTTTGCACAGCAAAGGAAACTAAACAAAATGAAGAGATAACCCAAAAAAATCAGAGAAGGTATTTGCAAATAATGCAAGCGACAAGGGATTAATCTCCAAAATACAAAAACAGCTCACACAGCTCAATATCAAAAAACCAAACAACCCAATCAAAAAATGGGCAGAAAATCTAAACAGACTTTTCTCCAAAGAAGATATACAGGTGACTAAAAAGCACATGAAAAGATGTTCCACATCACTAATTAGAGAAATGCAAATTAAAACTACAATGAAACCCTCCTACATTGTTGCTGCTGCTGCTAAGTCGCTTAAGTCATGTCCAACTCTGTGCAACCCCATAGACAGTAGCCCACCAGGCTCCCCCATCCCTGGGATTCTCCAGGCAAGAACAACTGGAGTGGGTTGCCATTTCCATCTCCAATGCATGAAAGTGAAAAGTGAAAGTGAAGTCGCTCAGTCGTATCCGACTCTTCGCGACCTCATAGACTGCAGCCTACTAGGCTCCTCCATCCATGGGATTTTCCAGGCAACAGTACTGGAGTGGGGTGCCATTGCCTTCTCCCCCTACATTGTTGATGAGAATCTAAATTGGTATAGCCACTATGGGGAACAGTATGGAGCTTCCTTTAAAAACTAAAAATAGAGCTCCCATATGATCCTACAGAAAGCAAAGAATAAAGAAGAATAAAGATAAAGAAGAACCTCTTGATGAAAGTGAAAGAGGAGAGTGAAAAAGTTGGCTTAAAGCTCAACATTCAGAAAACTAAGATCATGGCATCTGGTACCATCACTTCATGGCAAATAGATGGGGAAACAATGGAAACAGTAACACTTTATTTTGGGGGGCTCCAAAATCACTGCAGATGGTGACTGCAGCCTTGAAATTAAAAGATACTTGCTCCTTGGAAGAGAAGTTATGACCATTTCTGTTGCCATTTCCTTCTCCAGTGCATGAAAGTGAAAAGTGAAAGTGAAGTCGCTCAGTTGTGTCCAACTCTTCGCAACCCCATGGACTATAGCCTACCAGGCTCCTCTGTCTATGGGATCTTCCAGGCAAGAGTACTGGACTGGGTTGCCATTGCCTTCTCTGGACATCCCTTATATGTGGAATCTAAAAAGAAATGATACACATAAACTTATTTAAAAAACAGAGACTCACATATTTAGAGAAGGAATTTATGGTTGCCCAGGGGAAGGATAGGGGGAAGGGATAGTTAGGGAGTTTGGGATGGACATGTATACACTGCTACATTTAAAATGGATAACCAACAAGGACCTACTGTATAGCGCATGGAACTCTGCTCAATGTTATGTGGCAGCCTGGATGGGAGGGGAGTCTGGGGGAGAATGGATACGTATATGTGTAAGGCTGAGTCCCTTTACTGTTCACCTGAAACTATCAAAATATTGTTAATCGGCTATATGCTAATAGAAAAGAAAAAAATTTTTTTAAAGAATGAAATAATTCCATTTGCAGTAACATTAGTGGACCTAGAGATTATACGAAGTGAAGTTAAGCCATACAGAGAAAGACAAATATCATATAATATCACTTACATGTGGAATCTAAAAAAGTATACAAATGAACTTATTTACAAAACAGAAAGAGACTCACAGATGTGGAAAAGACAAATTTATGGTTACCAGTGGTTAAAGGGGGCGAGGGGAGGGACAAATTAGGAAATTGGGATTAACATATGCACAGTACTACATATATAAAATAGAAAACCAACAAGGACCTACTGTAGAGCACAGGGAAGTATATTCAATATTTTGTAATAACCTATAAGGGAAAAGAATCTGAAAAGGAATATATATATATTCTGTGTATATATTGTGTACTTTTATATACTTTGTATATACTGTGTACTTTTCTGTGCTGTATACTTAAAACTAACATGTCATTGTAAATAACTATACTTCAACTTTTTAAAAAGTTATAAAAGTAACCACTAGAAAGACTAAACATTAGTGCTGTGGGGGAAGGAATGTAAAGTGGTATATAAGGCTTATTTAATTTAATCCATCAATTACAGACTAAATAAATATCTTCATAAAATTTCCAAAAAATTAACTGAGTTAGGAAATCAAGGAATCTACTGTTTGACTCAGACTTAAATTTAAATTCATGTTTTAATTCAGTAAATCCTATAAACTTTCTCTTCAACTTTGCAGTGCTTGAATCTCAACTCTACCATTACTTTTCTCTATGTTTTTTAAATAAGTTATCCAGCCTCTCTGAATTTAAGTTTTGTTGTTTTACAAATGGGAATAATATAATCTGCTTTGCTGGTTCTTGTGAATATTAAATAAGCAAATGTTTTAAAACCAATTATATAGTGTCTGGAGTGAAGTAAGCACTTCCTAAATGCTTTATATTGCTAATATCTATGAAATATATCAATATTGAGACTATATGCCTTTGAAATAAAACAATCTATAGGTTTATTACCTGAAAAAATTATGTAATATCTGTTTTTTCAGGTTCCTTCAAATGCATCAGAAATATGTTATATTATTAAAGCATCACCAGGAACTAGACAAGTGGAAAGTAAAGGAATTATTGTAAAGAAGAAATATTCTCTTCCTAAAGATATACCTCAAGGTACTATAGTATGAATGCAGAACCTACTTTCTGAAAGATACTAAAGATTTTTTCATTGTAAATTCCTTATGTACTCGGGAATTAGTTATAAGTTGTATTCTGGGAGTTCTTTTATGAAGTGGAAATGGTAAAATTATAAAAAAGCTTGGTCAGTTTTCAGAATCTGAGTAAAATAGGTTTTTGAAAGTCTATTACTGTCATCTCTTAAAAAGTTAGGTTATGCCATTGATAATGGCATAAGAAGTTATGCCTCTTATAATTAAAATTTAGTGATGTTGGGTTTCATAGATATTTCATTTTTAAATATATGGAGATATTTTTTCATTCACTTAGCATTAGCTGAGCACTTGCTCTGGGAAAGGCACCTCATTATATCTTCTTTATTTCTCACTATTACTTTATGATAACAGGATGTATACTTTAAAAAAAAAATTAAGAATCTGAGACTTAAAGTAGTATGAAATTTGTCCAAGGTCACACTGCTACCAAGTAATGGTGAGCAGTTCAATCTCTCAAGGTTTCTACGTTCCAAATTTAGATTTTTCTGTACTTCCCTCACTGCATATCAGACTGAATGTCTAATTACTCAATGAAGCTTGGGAACCTTTGAAAGATAAGCAAGCAGTGAAGAAACTGAAATTTAATAGGTT